TGAATATTGTTAAGGCTTTTGACTGTGTAGAATGGACGGTGTTGAAAATGATTATGGAAAGCTTAGGATTTGGAGAACGATTTAAGGGATTAATAAATCAATCATACTTGAGGAACAAGGCATATGTTGTTGTGAACAATGGTAAAGGTAAAGGTAAAGGTACCCCTGCCCGTATGGGCCAGTCGTGTCCGACTCTAGGGTTGTGCGCTCATCTCACTTAAGAGGCCGGGAGCCAGCGCTGTCCGAAGACACTTCCGGGTCACGTGGCCAGCGTGACGAAGCTGCTCTGGTGAGCCAGCACCAGCGCAGCACACGGAAACGCCGTTTACCTTCCCGCTATAAAGTGGTACCTATTTATCTACTTGCACTTAAGAGTGCTTTCGAACTGCTAGATGGGCAGGAGCTGGGACCGAAAGATGGGAGCTCACCCCGTCGCGGGGATTCGAACCGCCGACCATACGATCGGCAAGTCCTAGGCACTGAGGTTTTACCCCCAGCGCCACCCGCGTCCCTGGTATAACAGAACAAATAACAATGGTATAACAGAACAAATAACACTAGCCCAAGGTACAAGACAAGGATGCCCCCTTTCCCCAGTTTTATTTGTATTGGTCATTGAAACTCTGGCCAATGTGATTAGAGCAGATGGAAATGTAAAAGGCATAAAAATAATGGAAAAGTTAATGGGGGTGTAAATATGTACAATTATTATTATTTATTTGGCAAAGGGAGATAACAGAAATCACTGGGTTAAAGCTCTCCAAAAGTCCAGAGGTAGCATTGCTATCAATTTACCATGGGGTGGAAGGTTTGCAGGCTATGAAGGACTTACTCACAAATTTATTGACAGCTGCACAAGTTGTTATAGCTAGGAAGTGGAAGGGGCAAGGTGAATATAAAATAGAAGAATGGTATAAAGAGGTGTGGGATATAGCTATTAATGATAAATGAACATGTCATTAAGGTAAGACGGGGAATAAGCAGGAGAAATGATTTTGAGGAGATATGGAAGTTATTTGAACTGTTAAAACGGAAAGGGGTCAAACCATCGCAAGAGGTGTTGAAATTTTGGGAGGTTGGATAGTTACAATAGAATTGTCTCAGGGGTGGGGTGCACATTTTTATTTGTTATTATTTATTATTATTACTTTGTTAAAATAAAATAAAAAAATCAAGAGTTGTTCTCGAAGTGAAGTACTCAGTTCTGCATATGTTGCCTTACCAAGGACAATGTGACTTGTCCCAAAGTGTAGACTGTTTAATCCGCTAAATATTTCACGATGTGCAGTCTACCCCTTTACATGCTAATGAACACATCTTAGCATGTGAAGAGGGGCATTGAGAAAAACACGCTAACTCCTCCCCTTCAGCATTTTCATCCTTCTCCATGAGTTTGAGGGTTACCTTTTCTGAAGTGAGGAGCCTCTGGTGCTTGTGGAGGTTCTGCTCATGTTTTTGAATCCTGCTTTTCCAGGGCACAAAAATGTGTGGGGAACATAAAAGCTGTAGAACCCAAGGCCCTCCTGTCCCCCAGTGTGTTAACTCACTTTCCAAATGCTTTTAAACAGCTAACCTTTTAAATTACTTCAGTTTTATTGTTGGCCACAGCAGGTCAAGATTTAGCATTTTAACTGGCTAAAAGCCCACAAATGCTTTATTTAAGAGGTTGCTGCAATATTGAACTGGAAGATTTCACTACCAAAATTCGCCCCACTAATAAATAATCTGTGTGAGAGTTTATCTGACCTTCGTACTGAGCAGCATTTTTATTCTGCTTGAATCATGTCTAGTTCCTGTTTACCTCTGCAGAAACAAATGAAAGACTGTTGCAAAATAATCATATTTCTCTTCTAGGCACATAAATGCTTGCATGCTGTATTCATGACACACAGCACTTAAAAAATGTCAATACTTGAAAATAATGGTTGAGTTAAAATCAACCAAATGAAGTTAAATGTTTCGGGGACTGGCCGGCGATAGCTACTTTCCCTTACGTCTCTTCTGATACAGATGTCTCAATGTTTCCCAGTTTCCCAATAGATTTAATCCTCCTTTCCTGTGTCATATTTAGTTGCAGTCTCTCCCAGCATACCAGCTCATCTGCATTCACTCAGCTTTCATGATAAGCTCTAGCATTAACCATACTCAGCAGAAAATGACCTCACTTGCCCAATTGGCCACTTTAGTGGATCACTCTTTTATCCAGCTGTTTTTTTAAAGCCATTAATCATGTTTGGGGGGGCTGCAAAAGCATATACAAATAATAATAATATTCTATTGTAGTTCGCTTTCCTCCTTTTTATACTTTCATTTTTTTAAAAAGTAAATCTCAATTATGGAAACATATATTGCACTCTCTCCCCTCCCCACCCCGTTCTCTTTTAACTTTCCTATTTTGCTTTTGAGTGACATTTTATTTCTTTGTTGGTATTTCAGAAAGCAAAATACCCTTAAAGGTGCTTCCACAGCAGCCATCCTCTCCTGCTTTGTGCATTTTGCCAGAACAAAGGTGGCAACCCTACTTGGGACAGCCTTCATGCATAACATGTGCTCAACATGTGCTCAACCACTAAATTGTATACAGGGCCTCTCCACCCCCATCATTCAGCTTGGACACTGAGGTTCAGCTCTGAGGGCCTTCTGGTAGTTCCCTTACTGTGAGAAGTGACGTTTCGGGAAACCAGGCAGAGGGCCTTCTCGGTTGTGGTGCCTGCCCTGTGGAACACCCTCCTGTCAGACATAAACATTTATACAACTTTCCGAAGACATCTGAAGGTAGCCCGTATCGGAAAGCTTTTAATGTCTGATGTTTTGTTGTATTCTTTTATATTCTGTGGGAAGCTGCCCAGAGTGGCTGGGGCAGCCCAGTCAGATGGGTAGGGTATTATCTATCTATCTATCTATCTATCTATGGACTTAGTCACATCCGAACATGATTTAACTGTTAACCCACCTTTCCCCCATTCAAATAGAGGTAGTACACACATGCACACTTATTTAAATTTGTATACAAAGAGCAACTTTTGTATAGGATAGGAATTTTTAATGTGGTTTGCATGTGCAGTTTTCTGGTTTTGTTCAAATCTGTGGGATCAGAAGAAATATAACACCTTCAGGAGCTCCTAGAAATAGTCAAGAGTACTGTTAGAAAACAACACACTTTCCAAATTGCTGCACAATATCCGGAGTAGACATGTTTCTGTGGCTTACATATGCAGTAGCTGACAATACTGGGAGAGGGTTGGTTTAGTTTGGTTTTTAAGTAAAAGCTAACACATGAGTGAACATATTCAGAGAAATGGACCTTCCAGGATTGATATTTCGAATGGTTGGAGGGGTTTTTAGGAAAGAACAGGGTCAGAATCAACACTTCTGAGCCAGGACAAGAAAGACATTGAGCATACACCCATACCACCAGCCTTCTTCAGTTGGGGTTTGGGAAGTCTTAGAAAAGATGAAGTTGGTCAGTTTATGTTGGTCAGTCCTCAAAGCCAAGCCAATGTGGGTTGCATTCATCATAGGTGATGACCCTTCTATATGGCATTGTGGTCATATTATATCAAATGTATAGTACCAACTGTGTAAGGTCAACTCAATGATTGATGATAAATTTCCATTTCTCTATAGACCTCCAGGGAGAGGCTCAAATAACTACCCCCCCCCCCCCCGCTTTTAAAAAATCAATTTAAGTTGCTTTATGGCTCAGTTCAACAATAAAGCAGCAAATAAGAATGTAGAAATGGTGGTGACTGTACTCGGTTAGTTGGTTCAGTTTATAACAGTGATCAAATGCACACAGGCATCGTTAAGGTGGGAAAATGCTGCTATGAATGCTAAGCATGATATTTGGCACGTTACTGATTTCTCCTGACAGACAGCTATTTGAATTATTTCAGATAAGGGTAGTTTGTCTGTCTGATGCTGATGTATCTCTTAACAATGATCCTTAGACAATAAGTCCTTGATTTGCAAATCCTCTTGCCGTCACAAAATGTGTCAACCAAAATTGGTTGTCATGGAAATAGTCATGATGTTATAGATGTGAAAAGGAACTTAACCAAGCTAGGATAATGCACACATGCCTTTCTCCCGTCATTTCTTGGCTAAAATACTCTGGAAATAAATGAAAAGTCTAAATGATGTCCTTGTGAAGCATATCTACTTTCTTTTTGTAGACCATCAAAAGTCTACAACAGCCTTTGCCAATGTGGTGCCCTTCAGATATTGTTGAATTACAACTCCCATCGACCTCTGTCAGCATGGGGCTTTTTTCAGCTGGAACTCACCAGAACTCAGTTCCAACACCATTGTCATTCTAAAAGAACAAAGGAGGTGTTTGTGGTGACTTGTGGCACCTCTTTTTTGAGAAAAAATAGCCCTGGGGCTAATGAAGATTGTAGTTTAAAAATTCTGGTGGGCACTACATTAGGAAATGCTGTTGCAGTAACTGTTATCCACTTCATAGTCCAACCTTAGCCCTTTGGATCTGAGTGACTACTGTCGGATTCTGCTAATATAACATCAAGGTTTGTGATGATGGTGATACCCTTGCTCTGTTTTGTGATCCCTGAAAAGCCTATTTGACCAGAAACTTCAGCGTCCAAAAGAAAAGTGCATGTATACTTTCTTGAGAACTGTTGTCCTTCCTCCATTTCTGGGTTGGATTAATCAACAGGATAAATATATTATAAAGCCCTTGCTGTATGTCAGAATACCACTGTGAGCAAATGGTGCCTATCTTGAACTTCTTCCATGTTCTCCATAGATTTGGAACAAGTTTCTTCATCATGTAATGGAGGGGAATGGAAAAGTGCTGTGCCTTGCCTAAGATGAGGAGAAATTTGAACTGCTCATCACTGCTTCTTGTCACGCAATCATTAAAGGGCCTTTCCTTTTCCTTTTGTTGCACTTCATACGCAGCAGCCACTCCTCCTCTCAGCAGCCATCTCCTGGAAGCTGCCCCTCAAACACACCATGCCCTTTGGGAGGACACAGAAGCTGCTGGAGTAGCTCAGTCGGTAGAGCATGAGACTCTTAATCTCAGTTGTGAGTTCGAGCCCCATGTTGATTCCTGCATTGCAGGGGGTTGCACTAGATGTCCCTCATGATTCCTTCCTACTCTATGATTTTCTTATGTTCTATGATTCTATGCTCTAAGGAGCATTGGGGAGCAGAAACTTGCAACAGCCACAGAGAAGTGTTTCACTGTTCCCACTTGCAGCAGTGGCAAAAATAGCTTTTGAATAGGGAGGGAAAGACTACTGGCACTGCCGTGCCAAACACCTAGGAGAAGGCCGTCACAAACTTTCACCCCCAAATCACACACACACCTAGATCAAATTTCAAGTGGAGAGTTCACAAAGTTGGACTTCTGGGTCCTGCTTTAGTATTGCACTAAAAACGGCATTCAGTTGTGAGCTACTCTCTTAGTGTAAAAAAAAAAGGTAAAGGACCCCTGGACAGTTAAATCCAGTCAAAGTCAACTATGGGGTGCGACGCTCACCTCGCTTTTTAGGCCGAGGGAGCCAGTGTTTGTAGGTGCATTGATCCTGAAGGCAATCTGTTCTGAAAGGCTTGGAGCATCACAGTTCTAAAAAACAAAATAGTATCTTTTGATATGACTTGGTACAAAGGCAGTTTCCCATTCCTGGTGTGTGTATTCTAATCACTCTGCAGCACCAACACTTTAACAAAACAGAAAACAGGAGGGGGGGAAACAAGTGGCTTTTCATTGTGCAGAAAAATAGCAAAAAGGACTTGGCAATTTCAAACTGTTGGGAAGGACTTAGCCATGTGACTCCTATTAAAGCCGTCAAATATGTGTCAAGTGGTGAATAACCCCCCAGAATGCTTTGAAGATGTACTTCAATGTGATTTTTTTTCCCTGGCTTTTTTTTCTTGATGGGGGAGGGCTTTTTGAAGGAAGTTGTGAAACATGACCACAGAACGCCACTCTCAAGAGACTGCTTCAGTTACTCCTCCTAGTGCACAGAGAAAAGAAAAGGCTGCTAAAAGGGGGGGGGGGACCATTTTTTGCATTTGGAATGCCAGCAGCAGGATAGTAAAAACAAGCATCCTTTTGACACTGACAAACTATTTAGTAGCTAAACAGGGCAGGGCAGGGACATCACAAGAGAAAGTGGATGGATTAGTGCTGGATCAAAAATTTATAGTGATCCAGGGGTTTTCCTGGCCCCCCCTTGCTTGGAAGGAAAATCTTTTAATCCAGAATATTGGCGGCTTCCTGGGTTCATACTGCACACCCCTTGTATCTGCTCTGCAGCACAAATGTTAAAGTTCTGCAGTGTCTCATTTTTTAAATGTTGATCTGAAAATCCTTCCTTGTGGTTGGCAGAAGGAATAAATCACTGGCAAAAGCCACTGCTCAGCAGAATTTAAGAAGTGGCATGTTGGGTCAGACAGTGGGCAGTGGCTCCCTTTCCATAAACCCTGGCTTGTCCAGACACCCCAGGGAGTCAAAGGGAGAGCATGGTGGGTATTTCAATTCCTAGCATTAACAGTGACAAGGATGAGTAAGGTGGCAGTAGAACTGTTCTGTTACACAAACTACCTTCTTGCATCTGCAGTCCCTCTAGTCAAGAAAGCACAGGGCTCTTAAGTGATATAAATCATGCTTGGCACCTGATGGAGCATCTCCATTCCTGTTATTCAGCCTGGTTCCCTCAAACTGGTTCCCTCAAACTCAGGGAACCAGGCAAAGGGCCTTCTCAGTAGTGGTGCCCACCCTGTGGAATGTCCTCCCATCAGATGTCAATGAGATAAGTAACTATACAACCTTTGGAAGACATCTGAAGGCAGTCTTGTATAGGGAAGTTTTTAATGTTTATTTTTTTATGTTTTTGTACATGCTGGATGCCACCCAGATGGGCAGGGTACAAATAATAAAATTATTATTATTGGATTATTGGATTATGCCACTCTAGGATCATCCCATTGAATTGTAGGATCACTCACAATCTTTTAAACCCAAAGCTAGCCTCCTCTTTGAGAACCCACACAGACATGTGCAATTGTTGTGCTTTTATCTGAGATCTAGTATTGAATTTTCATTAAATCATTAAGTAGCCATTTGCTGACTCAGTCCTTCTGTAAGGAAATGTAGAATGACTTAATGAAGAGTTGAGGCAGGCCTTTATCTCTGCCTGCTCTGGCCTTATGGACAGCTCCATGGGGAATAATAGACTTGTAGGAACATCTGAAAGAGGACAGCAGCAAGTCTTACTGAAAACTGGCACAGTTTTTTATGCTCCTCTTTTGGGTAACTGCCTATAACCAACAGCTGCCCCTGCCGTCTGTCAGCAGGAGCCTGCCAGTTTGCTGTGAACATAGGCTAACATTTCACACCTGCCAGAACTATTGGTAAAACTTTGACCCAAGTTCTTGGGGTTCAGCTTCAAAGGGATATAAGTAAGAAGAATCATTATGCAAGAGCGACATGTAGGGATAGCGGTGCACAGGTTAGAAATGAATGTTAATGTTAGCAATGAGATCTGATGTGATCTACAGCCCTGCAGCCTTTACACATGTGCCTTTACAATACAGGTAATCATTCAAAAAGAACTAGTGATAGTTATGCTGGCAGATTTACTATGTGCACTAGAGGTCAAAGAGCAAAAGGTCACTTTGCAAATATCCTTTTCAGGTGTCTCCGAATGCCTATCAGAATGCACATAAATGTACAGGAACACTCTGAAGAAAGTTGTTTTTATGACCTGCCTGGCTCGTAGCACAAATTAAAGGTTGGAAATAAATTCCTTACCAGAACTGTCAAGGCAGCTACCAAATTTAGAGCTCCCCATACCTCTGAAGACAGAAATAAAGGCGGTGTCGGTAGTCTAAGCTCAGTGTTGAACCCAGGTGAAGTGCTATTCTGAAACGCCTGGTTAATACACATTTTTAATAACAGTTACACACCTTTCTCTAATTAGGCCACATCTTCCTAGGTATCTGATTTCACAGGCCGTGATCCTCTAGCCATGCAGGCAATGTAGGCCAGGGTTGGCTGACCTGTGACCTGCAAGCCCCCAAAGTTGTTTCTGCCCCCCATTTAATTTTTATTTTAAAAAGAACTGATGTTCACATAGTTGCACAACTGTGATGCCCAAAGTTATTGTTTGGTCCCTCTAAAAATGTCATTTAAATAAAAAAGATAAACTCTGTGATGCCTTTTTTTAAAAATGTGGTTCCTCCAGCCCCCTCCCCAACATTCACCTGTTTGTTTGTTTTTTTGAAGTTTCTACTGACCACTCCTATGGGTCTTCTGCTGTGGTTCTATAATGTCAAAGGGCTTTGTGATCCCCTGACCCCATCTTCCCAAAATTCCTTGTCCTTTAAAAAAATAAAAATGAACAATTTGGTCACACCCACTTTGGCCATGTCCACTTTGACATATGGGCCCAAGATGTTTGACCATGAGTCAATGCTGCCTTTGGCCCCAAAACGGTTAGCTACCCCTGGCGTATACATTCACTCCTCTCCCTGGTTGATGTGTACAATAGCAATTGGTGGATTGCTCCCTGGAGAATCCAAGCTGCACCGTTCGTTCTGGAATTGTTCCGTGCTAAATTACCCTGAATAATTCCTAAGTGGCAGCCTTGGAAATATGAGAGTAGCCCATCTCATCGATCTGGGAGCTCCTGCTGGCGCATTAGACAGCCCTGACCTCCCCATTGCCTCTCCCCACATGCAGTCCCTCCTGGGAAGCAACAGTGAGGCTGGCACCAAAGGCCAGGTATGTGCTGCCTTCACTCCTTGCTGGTCACTGTATTAATCTGAAATGTGTCTTAACAGCTAGCTAGATGGTTAACCCTGTCACTTACAGCACAAATCCATGCCTGCTACTCAGAACTTGCTCCCAGGGAAGCATGTACTGTATTGTAGTCCAAAAACAGCTGGAGATCCAAGTTTGGGAAACACTGCTGTACGGTATAGCATTGTAGGCTCAACTTTATCCAGACTTCTTTATCCATAGTCTAATACTGCTACAATTGCAATGGTTAATGATGAAACAGTGGGTAAAGGAGGAAGCAGAACAATAGTTATGTGGCATATTTCCTGTAGAAGGCTCGTGACAGTTGTTCTCCCAACCAAATGAGAGCCACGGATGATTTCTGACTTCTTTTCTCTGTGCCTTTAGGGTTTAGGGTTTTTGTGTGTGTTTTTTTAAGGTTTGTCCATGAATTGTGTATTAGCATAACATTTGTGACACTCAGAGGTTACACAGCTCATTAAAGTTTGTCCACATATGAGGTGCAGTGGTTCATAGGGGCTGAGCTGTCAATGATGTTTCTTTCGGCAGACAATAAATACTGGTTGCTGCTAAAAATAATCAATCTGTTTCAATTTTTTATTGTGTAGAGGTCAGCAAATAGTGCACACATCTGCAAACAGTCCTTTGAAAAAAATAACATTGGCCTTTTGATGTTTGCACATGACAGCCTTGTATGCAGCTGACTATCTCTTACATAAACATTTCAGGAGAATCTGTGCATTTGAGATGTGCTGGGGACTGAGGCTGAGATGTTCATTGTAAGTAGCCTTTAAGAAACTGGTGTACAGATCTCAAACTGGCTGATTTTGACCCGTTCAGACCTAGCCAAAGCATCTTCAATAAATAAATTGTGGAGCTGGGGGAGGTGTTATTTGATTTAAACTACAAATTGAAAAAAAGATCACAGGTTTTTTAAAAAAAGAAATCCTTTCACATCTTAAAAATATTTGAGGGAATTATGATTTGATCTTGCAACACTCCCAGGCAATAAAAAGGAACTCAGACCCTTCATTAAATTATCTGTTGTGAATTATTCTATCGTAACTAATCAAAAGAGTGGTTCCAGTCAGAAATATTCTCCCTCTTCTAATTTGATTCTGGGTTTAACAATGCAAAGCAATTTCCTCCAGTACGAAACTAATCTCCACTGTACACCTCTCAGTTGTGCTTTAATGATTTGAATTTAAATTGCCACCACATGGTTAGGACTATGCACAGCTGTTAGAATATTCAGATGTGCTTCCCATGTTGTATGGAAAGCACCTTCACCAGTGCTGTGAGTGCT